CCTCAAATTGAAGCTGAAGGAAACGGCTGGGCCTCCATGCAGCCCCACAGAAGGCGGCTGGCGCCGAGGTGCTCCGTGGTTCCCTGCCCCCACGCCCCTAAGCAGTCTGTGTGGCATAGACTGCATGTTGTATGATTCCCTTTATAGGGAATGTACGAAAAGGGAAGTGGCTGGTTTGTACAGAAAAGGGGGACAACTCCTACCCAAACAAAATTTGGATGTGAGGATTTTTTGAAGACCAAAAGTACCGCATCTATAAGACCACTAAGACCGTGGGGACCTCTCCTGTGGTGACTTAAAGAAAAGGGACATGGTCATGACTGAGGAACTGAAAGTATGACCTCCAGGAACTTTTACTGCTGAATTCCAGGAGAATATTCAGGAGTCACGTGTCAGGACTTGTCTTGTCTGCAGACTCAGCTCCGTACACGAGAGGGCGCACTCCACCAAAATAACAAACAACTAAGACCCTTGCAAATAACAATCTTAGGGGGAAAACCCTAAGTATCATCAAAAATCAACGAGTTTCTTAAAATACTCGAAGAAATATTATGCTGTCTTGAAGATCCGTAAAAATATTATACCTTCTTTAAAGACGACAGTTCAGATGCTTACCGGGTGGGAGAATATTTGACATTGGTCAATGCAAAAAAGCAGAATGTAATTTTCACGCTTTCAAGCAAAGATAGGGACGTAATAGTTTGTTTTTGTTTTTCTCCCCAAATGTTCTTCACTTACGCAGACTTACAATATGAAGATAAAAGAAAAATATATCCCAGAAATCATGGAGCAGAAAAATTGGCCTCTGTCTCAATTTTCAGTAGAGTTAAGCCATTCTAGCACTTCTAAACACAAAGGAATTTAGCACAAAGCAGTAAGTCTGTTTAATATCTGGTGGGTGGAAAGGGACTTTAGGAGTGAGTCTCAGAACCAAGCTGCAGAACCGCCAGGCACAGGAACAAACTATCAGGAATCTGGATTCAGGAAACCACCACAGGCCCACTGGTGGGACTCAGGGTCACGCTCCCACCCCAAACAGACTGCATTAACCCAGGGCCAATGGCCCAGAACCCAGAGCTTCATCTACTAAGTGCGTATGTTGTAAGAGGCATTCAGATTAATGAACACTAACCTATTGATATATCGAGAGTTCTCCAAACAACGTGTATCACAGTTCTCCAAACAGAATAGGATCTATCAACGGATCGTCTGTTTATCCATCTAGGTTTATTTATTTTTTAAAAAAGATATATGTATGCATAAAAGATCTGGGGTATAGGCCAGAGGTGCAGGGGGTGAGAGGATTCACCAGAGACAGAATGGGGAGCAAAACAGGTGGGTGGGCTGAAATACACCGCTGAGGGGAGCAGTGAAGAGACAGGAGGGGTCTGCTGTACCATGTGGCCAGCAACTTGGCTAGGGACAGAACTCATGCTGCAGTGGCTGCTGTGGACAGCTTCACAGTGCTGGGATTTACCCTGTCATGCCACCGGGGAGGGCCCCACCTAGGCTCATGCAAAGAATGGCAGGAGGTGGTGAGTTTGAAATTTGTAGAGCAGGCCTGCAATTCAGGCACTATATCTGTGACAGTCTTGAGGCAGAATTCCTTCTAAGATTTACTTACTTATGCATACAAGAACTGGGGTACAGGCCAGAGGCTGGCGGGTTGAGAGGACTCACCGGACACAGCGAGGAGCAGAACACATAGATGGGTTGAAATCCACTGCTGAGGGCAGCAGTGGGAGAGACAGGAGAGGTCTCTGCGCCATGTGGGTCACCTGCCTGGCCAGGAATTGAACTCATGCTGCAGGGGCTGCCAATAGCTTGACAGCACTGAGACTTCACCCTCTGTACCAGCGGGGGTGCCCGGAATTGCCAAGTTATTCTCAGTAACTCTGCCAACAATGCTATAATTCAAAAGTCTACTACAGAAAACTTTTCCCTCCCCAACAAGTCAAATGAAAATACCCAGAAATGTAACCATTTACAAGGTGACAAGAAGACAAATGAGAGAATGATCATAAAGATAACTTCCCTCTCCTGGTCCCCTCAAGTTTCCAAATTTATTTCCTGGCCAGAGTTGCAAAATGTTGTGCTGAGAAAGAACTGCTTGGGGTTGGGTTTACTTGAACTGGAGAGGTTTGAAAACTATGCTAGCTGGAGCTGAGAAGGCCTTTGTAATTTTCCATTACTTCCCAAGTAACGATCATGAAAACTGCATTCAGGCCCTCAATTACTGGCCTTTGACTTAAACTTTGCTTTGGGATCCTGGACAAAGGAATGACAGGCAGGCTCAGAGACCAGTCCTGTTAGCTAGAGTGACTGTAGGATGCAGCGACATCTGAGTTGCAGAAAGTGAGTGGCCCTGTAAGAGGACTGGGAAGCAAAGTGAACACCAGGGTGGGGTTTAAACTCAGCTCAAGAGGCTAAAGGAAGAGGTGGAAATATACACATATATGCCTTTATATGCCATGTGCTCAGTATCCAAATGGACTATTGAAGGTCTTGAAGCCAAATTGTTTGAAAAGTTTTATTTGGTAGCCAAAAATATAACTGGACCTTTACAAAAGATGTGCAAGAGGGGAGGTATCAGCTTATACAGAAGATTTTGCTGTTGAAATTTGGGATGGTTAACAGCCATCAACTGAGGGGGTAAGAACTTACAGGTTGTCATGTCTTTTTATATAAAGGGAACGGAAGTTGCTGATCTACTGACCTAGCAGTGTGCTGAAACTCATTATAGTGAACCTGAAGAAAGAGAAGTTAATGGAAGAGAAGACAAACTAAATGATTGTGAGCTGTAGGACTAGATAAACAGATTCAGTTGGACCAAAACTATAATTATCTCAACAACCTGACAATAGTTTTCATCCTATCAGGTTGACATCTATCATGTTCTTTCATGCGATCGGTTTTCGGTTCAACTGTCAGGATTTTACATTATATACAGATTGACACATAGTAGAGTTGTTGACAGCATTTTTATCCTAGGAGGTGAATCTGTGTATCCACTTGTCACCTGAATCGTCCTTGTCAAGGGCTTGTCTGCTTACCTGTGGAAGACAGGACCTAAGGTGATCCCATCATTTCTAAAACATTCCAGGCTTTGTATCTCTCAAACCATTAAAACCTCTACTTTCAATTAGCCAAATAAAGGTGCAATGAGTATCTTTGGAACACCCAAGAATTAAAACCAGTGTTTATGGTATAGTCTGCACTAACGTCTTAACAAAATATAAAAAGTCTATTTGCTGAAAGAGAAAGTAAACAACTTCCCATTAAGTAGAAAAAAGTGAAAAACACTGTTGCCTAATTTCCAGTTTAAATGTATTTGATTACAAAGAATGTGACCCCCACCGAATATAAAAAGCTCAGAAGAAATTACATCTTATCCCATAATCTGCTAGTAGTATTTCTATATCAAATCACATTTGGTTTATGCTTAAATACAAGGCTAGATGTACACACAGCCTCATAGTACTTTTGTGGGATTCTCTAAAATGCACAGAGTAGCTTATATAGTATTGATAAGAACAAACATAAAATGTACGTAGAATATAGATTAAAAACCCTCTCTTATAGATCATTAAAAGTGATACCTTTTGAGAAGGTTAAACATCCTAAATTATTCAAGTTTGAAATTTGATCTTTGAAAGCAGAACTGTGCTTTGGCATTGAATTTCACACCTTTCAAAAGAAGGAACAAAAGATCAAGAACATCAAACATGGGAGAATTAGACTTCTGATTCATAACTGATCTGGGATGTGGTCTCCAATCTATCCAGGCCAGAACTTAGCTTCTTGGAGGTGATGAGGGGTATTCAAACAATTTTTGTTTCCATAAGTGAATATTTTAATTTAAACATGCACATTCTAATGTTACTCTATTGCACCGTGTTACAGAGCATAGGTAATAATTCTTAGACCGCTAGCTTCTACTACCAGGGTAGTTAGTTTTTGTTTAAACTTGGGAGATACAACTTCAGCTATCTCTAATTAAACAATCTGAGTAGTGTATCTAAAACCTATTCTTTGTATTTGTATTGGTGTGAGTCAAAATTTTCTTGACAGTACAGAAACAGCAGAAGATGAAGAGACAAATTGGCTATAGCAGTCGGCCAGTCACCTACAATCCCAACTTCACAATTGTGATGTTCAGAAATCTTATTCTTAGCAACAGAGACTAAGACCAGGAAGCATGAATATAAACTTAAAACATATTTGTTCTGATAAAAAATACTCTCAGGCTTTATGTATTGGGGTTATAAAAAATTGCATTTAAAAAAGATTTTGGTGCAAAAGCATCTGGAAAATACCAGCATGTAAGAAACTTGTCTTTTAATTTGTTGATACAATGTTCAATATGATTTAGTTTTCTAAAACATCTCAATTTTTACATCAACCCACAGAATGGGGAAATGGCTACAAATTAAGAGTTCTGTGGGCCTTCAAAAGCAGTAACTTAAAAAAAAATTAAGGAGAATTTACACTAAAAAATTCATAATTGCCTTCTGATAGGCAATTTTATGTTTTGTAAGGCTTTATTTATTTATGCATACAAACTGAGGTACAGGCCAGAGGTGCGGGGAATGAGAGGACTATCAGAGACAGAGTGGGGAGCAGAGCAGGCAGACTGATGAAGTACATGGCTGAGGGGAGCAGCAGGGAGACAGGAGAGGTCTGCTGTGCCATGTGGGTCACCTCCCTGGCCGGGGATGGAACTCATGCTGTGGCTGCAGGTAGCTTCATAGTGCTGTGCTTTAACCTCTTCTACCACCAGGGAGGGCCCTGATAGGCAATTTTAAAACAAGATTTCCACTTTCAATTAGTAACATATTTATTGCTGTGTTCCCAATCTCAAAACACTTCATTTTTCAGGTAATACAATTTAGGATCTTCGCACGTCAACTGTGCTGTGTGTTTTGATAGTTGAGGCACATTTCAATGATTTTTAGATTTTATTTTTTGGTTTGATTATAAAACAGCTTGCACACACCAAACTCAAACAATTTTTTTTTATTTAAAAATCCACCTCAAAATTCACTTCTGGGTTTCAGTTTTTGTTTAAAAAGAAGCAAACATTTAAAAGCATCAAATATTACTAGTCTACAAATCATTTCATGAGGAACATTTTTAGTTTGTGGTTTGGGGTGATCAACCCGTTATGTCGATTAGGCACAGCATTAAGGCCCAGGGCCAGAAATCAGGGCACCTGTGTGTGGTTAGGCAATAGTTAGGGTCTGCACAGAGGGGTCACCCTTACCCTGTGGGTATCCTATTTCCACGGCCCCTCCAAAATCTGTAAGTCTCAAACCAACATAAGAGATCGTAACCTCGTCCAAAAAAAAAAAAAAAAAAACCACACCAATCAAACCTGCTTTCTAAATCGCATTGTGAAGCCTAGACAGCTACAGCTGTAGCCTCTCCCTAATTCATGGTCTTGATGTCCATGCCACGGAACCATGTTACAGGTAAGAGATAATCCTATAGTCCCTCTTGTGGCTTTGGAAATCTGGCTGGGAGAGGACCAAGACATTAAGATTTCACATTATAACAAGGTGCCAATAGTTCTCAAATGGGGGCAGTGACTATAAATCACAGTACAAAATTCTTAGTTGTTTTTACTGGAAAAGCAACAGGTGCTACAAACAAGAATCACTTCTAGAACATGTATTTTTTAATGCAGGTATAAAATATTAATTGCATAGGGATTTAAATATAAGGCCAAGAAGAATATTAAGTAAAGGTAAAAAAAATCATAGAAAGGGCACTATGGTGTCAAAAGATAGAATTTCATTCTTAAGAGTAATAAATCTGAATTACTGTCTTATTAAAAAATCACAGTATGTTGCTATACCTAACAGTGAGTGTCAACTGTTTCATTAATTCCAAACTGGAAACCAACATTAGGACTAACAAGAACAAACTAAAGCTCATTGCCTAAACCTGATCAGTGTATTATTAGCACATCAGTGCCTGGTACGTACCTGATTGGTTATATAATCTACATTTTGCCCAAAACGTAAAGCTTAATACATTTTAACAAGGGTGAGAGCACATCACCGCTGCCTGACAACTGCAGGCTTACTCGATCAAATAATTGTGTCTTCTGAGGTGTAAGCCAGCAGAATCTTCACTCAATGAACCAAAAACACTTGCACTGACAACATGGAACAAAGTTCTACCATTGGAAACTAAACGTAGAGTGTGGAAGTCGACCACACTCTAGTTTCCAAGCTAGCGGTCCCCACCTGGCACTCAGGTGGAGGGGTCCATTGAGTATCTACTTCTCTTACTGGTGTTATGCTGTGGTTAAAGAGCAACTTCCCAATCTAAAAGTAGCTTAGTTAACTCGTATTGTTATACGGAGTAGTGTGAGGAAAAACAAGAACTCCCAAAGGAACAATGTTAGGTACATTTGAGAAAACCAATGTTTTAAATGAAAAAGTGCATAAATACAGTAATACTACAAGTGTGTTAACTATGGGACAAACGCTTCCTCTGGGAGCCACACAATAGTATTTTCCCACGTTATTTACATGTGATGAATTGTTCAGATACCACAAAGCACCATTGATGGTCGCATTATTTGATGACATCTAGAGACTTCTTGGGCAGTCCACACCCCTCAGTCGAAGACCTGCCTGGAGAAGATGTCTGGAGCCACCTTCCATCACACAGGATTCCCCTTGACAAGCGAGTTCGCTTTGTTCAAGACCAGCGGAGCAGGGTTCTCATTTCACGCTCTTGGCAGGGGTCTCGGTCTCTGTGGACTGCCTCCCGTCCGTCCAGGCCTCCCGGGTGCTCTTCAGGGCCAAGGTCTTCTGCTGGTCCACCACCACGTAATCCACACGCTCGTCAGCCACGCTGCTGCCCGAACCACTGCTCTTTTGCTAAAGAGTGCAGGGAAAAAGAAACTTAAAGCCCCATCTGAAAAGAAAGTCCCACCTGAGTGAAAGTCAGTCTTGAAATACACACACTCACACTGCGCATACCTGGCAAATTGACTGGATCACAAAGCATACCGTTACCTCAATTTTACATCGCTGACTCTGCCCTAATCATAAAGGGTTTTTCTTTGGCACTTAAAATGATTGCATGTAAGAATTCTCTTTAAAGCTCCTATCACAGATGAAATCATGTGGAACACGGGCAGCAGAAACCCGGACACTCTGTGGCTTGCTTCTCTCTCTCACCTTTAGCGCTAGTTGAGATTTTTCAATTCCTGAAACTGTGGATCAGTGTTGACTTTCAAAGCTGAGACATGTGTTTGTGAAAAGCAGTATGTATGCTGTATTTAAAGCACAGCAAACTACATGTGCTGACGGGCCTCCTTACTCCTAAAATACGACTAAATGCTAGGGCGGTGGAAACAAATGTCATCACAACGCATTGTGGGGGCCTTGAGAAGTAAGAAAACGGTGAGTGAGGTCACAAACAAGAAAAGACAGCACTGTGTTGATGAATGCCAAGCTCAGCACCACAACGAGGGGGCCCTGGGAAGGAAGGCGTGCAGAACTTGAGATGGTCCGGCTAAGCTGGGGAGCTGAGCTGGTTCTGGGGGTCCCACAGACATGCTCAGAAAAATGAATTCACAGTGAAAGTGTATAAAACCACAAGGAAGGGCCTCCTTGCTAGTACAAGGGGTTAAGTCTCAGCACTAATAAGCTAACGCCAGCCACAGCCGCATGAGTTCTCTCCCGGCCTGGGAGCTGACTCACAGGGCACAGCAGGCCTGTCCTGTCTCCCTGCTATTCCCCTCAGCAGTGTATTGCAGTCAATCCACCTGTTCTGTTCTGCCATTCTGTCTCTAATGAGTCCTCTCAAACATCACCCCACTCCACCCCACACCTCTCTGGCCTACACTCCAACTCTTGTGTGCATAAATCAAAAATTAAAAAAAACACACACACAAGGAAACAAGAACTCAAAAACCTGAGTCAGCACAAACAATCACACAGATTCAGACTTCCACTGACTTCAGGTACTGAAATTAGTGCATCTACAATACTTTTTATATATAGGTAATGTTTAAAGTAGAAAAAAAAAAACTAGATAAAAGGAATAATAAGGAAGAAGAAGCGATTAAAACCAGCCAGGCATATTTGAAAAATGAGAAACAAAATTTCATTTTAGAAATGAAAAATAAAATAGTTGAAATGCAAATTAAACAGAAGGATTGAGAAGGGTTGAGAATGTCGATGGAGCTAAAGCAGTTATCCAAGAACAAAGATGATGAAACAGAAATATGCAAGAGAAGAGGTGTGGAAGGCAGAGAACAGCACATCAGTATCTAGTTAGAAGCCCCCAAAGAGAAATTACAAGATTGGTAGAGAAGCCATATTTAGAGAGATGATTGTGACTTTTCCAGAAGTGTTGAAAAGTATGAAACCTAAAATAAAGCAGCGAATATAAAGAGAATCCAAGTTTAGCTGTGTAGACACAGCACAGTGACCTGCAGAAAACCAAAGATCCAAAAAAGATCTCAGAAAAGACAAAGGCACTTAGACTGACCCATGCTGTTGGCCTGAACAACAGAAGCCAGACGCCAGCAGAACAGTGATTTCTATGTGTTGAGAGAAAATGATTGTGCAACAAGAACTGTTAACTCAACAAAATTCTTTTTCAAGACTGAGGGCAAAATAAAGACATTTTGGTTCAACAAAAACTGCATTGACCAGGAATGGACCTGCACAAAGGGACTTCCAAGGAGGCATTTTAGGAGCAAGGAGAGTGATTACAGAAGGCAGGTTCAAGATTCAAGAAGGAATGAGTAAAAAAGAGGCACTTTGAACATGTGGGAAAATGGAAGACGTCACCATAGAGGAAAAGTAGACTGCTGCTACTGTCTCCCCTGTGGGCTTAACAAAAATAAAAACCAGAAATTTTAGACCAAAAAAGCATGTAAGTCAGAGGGGAATAATTTGAACTAACACATGGAAAAGAGTAAAGAGAGTGACTGACTTTAGAATTTGTGAAGGACGCTTTGCAATGGCAACCAGTCAAAAAGCAGGCAAGAGAGAACACTTCCACACTCAGGAAAGAAAAGTGTATTAGCCTCCATAACCTTTTTAAAGAAAATATTTATTTATTTATTTTTGCATAGAATAAGGGTGTAAGCCAGAGGTGCAGGGGGTGAGAGGACTCACCAGAGACAGACTGGGGAGCAGAACAGTAGATCGATGAAGTACACTGCTGAGGGGAGCAGCGGGAGGGTCAGGAGAGGTCTGCTGAGCCATGTGGGTCAGCTCCGGGGCAGGCGGGGATCAAACTCAGGCCTTAGCAAAGTGTTGCGGCTGAGACTTAACCACGAGGCCACCAGTGAGGCCCTCTGTGACTTCTAATTCATGATGACAAAGTAGCTGACATCGTAGCCTTCACTAAATTTAAGTTAAACGTACTCAAACATCTCCTCCAAAGAAGATAGGCTTCTTCAGATTTACAGCGCAAGCTACCTGCTAGAGAAAGCAGTTCTCTTACCTTACGTGGTGGCGTGGATTTCCCGGAATCCAAATCGAGATCTAGGTATTCCACCTGCTTGTCTCCTTTGGGCTTGATCATAGGGCTGCTTCCTCCGTCGAGGCTGCTACTGCCGAAAAGATTCTGAAAGTATCGGACAAAAGAACCAACTCTCAGACACTGCTTATCTGTTTAGCTATCGAAGACTAAATACTTATTTCAAAAGGCTGTAGCCTGGAGAAATGTCTGTGTGGAAAATTCATCTTTTAGTAGAGGGGAAAATAAGTAATGTTTTAAAAACGGACTAAAGCGAAGCTTAGAGCAAGCTCAAAGTTGTTTCAAAAGCCCAACGTGGTGGGAACTAGGACATCACACCCCGTTCACGTGACGGCGTCATCTGATCGTATCTCAGCGTGCTCTCACTCACCTGGACTAACTACGGAATCATTACATGCCCAGGCTTTGTCTTCACATACGTTTTTAAATTCCTTTTTAATTTTTGTGAAAGACCTTTCACTAAATTAGTTTAGAATCAGCACATTCACTGAAGGCTGTGAATAGTGATTCTATTGGCACAGTCTATTTGTTTCATCCATCTGGAATTTTTATCACTTCTTTTCCTTGGTCTTCTGAGCCTGAACCCTTCTAGCAGGAATTGTGTAACAGAGGGACCACTCTCTAAAAACAGCTTGTAAAAAAGAAGAAGAGAGAAGAAAGCGGTTTTATAAACAAGAAGGAAAAAGCTCGAGATGGGAAAATGAAAAAGAAACAGGCAAGCAGGAACCTGACAATGGAGGCAGATTAAACAGGACAGGATGACGTGGCAATCCAGAGAAACCCCCCACCCCAAATCGGGAGCCTGCAAGGTGTGGCCCCCCAAATGAGTTGTTTCCAAGCCCACTGCTAAGTCTCTCTGGCTTCCCCTAGGCAGACTGCTTAATCATGGGAGGATCCACACACATCTTTTCTTCTACTTTGGAAAAAAATCAAAATGATGTAAAAAGTTAAACATTTAGACTTGTTCTGAGACAAACCCATCTGCAAACTGCTGCAATCTAGTTCTGCTGAGTCAGTCAGATGGCTGCTCAATCCTTCTATGCTCCTGAAGCCACAGGAGCCCTACTAGAAAGTCAGAGTTGATTCCTTTATGTGTGAGCTGGGCACTGCTGACCGCTAGAAGGAACATATTTGCGCATCAGAAAGAGATTCCCCTTCCTCCAGGGTGACTGGCTCTGTGCCACGCATGCTTGTGCAGCAGGGCTTGGCCTGGCCACCTCCCGGCACACGGCCACTACCTTGCTCACTGCACACCAGGACCTGCAGTCTCTGTCCAGTGAGCAACTGCTGAGGGGAGCAGCGGGAGACAGGAGAGGTCTGCTGTGCCCTGTGAGCCAGCTCCCTGGCCGGGATGGAACGCCCGTCACAGTGGCTGCGGACAGCTTCACAGCACTGAGACTCTAACCCCTGCACCACACGGGGGGGCCCTGGGGAACAGATTCTTAGACACATTTATCAGCGACAGCTAATAAAGCACTTACTGAAAGACTGTCAGCCCACACAGGCATGAAGCACTGAGCAGGCGTGGCTGCTCCCTTGACACAGACCCTGCCCTGTCCTTTGCCTCGTCCATTTTAAAACCGAAATTTCTGTCTCCACATTTGGAATCATTTTCCATGTTTCATTTTCACATTAAAAAGTCAAGCAGGGCCCTCCCTGGTGGCGCAGCGGGTTAAAG